TAGTAGACATCAGACCAAAACATAAAGAGGGAACCCTCCCGGCCTCCACGGCAGTGGCCCCCGGATGGCCAGCGGAGCGTCACCCGATGGCGAGGGCTTCTTGTGTTGTTGTAAAAGGGATGAGGCGAATTGCTTAATTTCGAGCTTGTTGAAGATAAAAAGAAGAAGAAGGATACGGCTGCTGGGTAGAGGGGAAACTATTTCATGGTGGGATAGGGAACTGGCAGGGGATAATCTGATGACATTTCTTCTCCTTTGATATCTCTATAAGATCCTAAACGCATGTCTTCAGCCGTCTACGCAAAAGAAGAGACCTCTCAGTGGACAGAAATAGGGTGGCACCAATTTATAATGTGCCAGGTAGCGTGGGACTTTGAAAGTCGACCAGTTTGGTAGGTAGTATATAAGACCTGGGCTACTAACTTTCCCGAGGGGTTAGACAACAACATACATGATACATCGGTCGGGACATAGGCTCATATCTAAGTGTAGTCCACCCTATAAACTTTCTAGTGAGTATCTTAAGAACCCCAGCTTATAAACCGTTATCTCCTATAGTGTTTTACGACCATTACAATAAGCAGAAAAAGCTTCGCGGTGGACAAGAAAGCAGCACCGATTTATAATATGCCAGGTGGAGTGGGACATTGAAATCGATGAGAATGAGTGCCGCTTTTTGTGTCTGGCAAAAGGAAGGTTTATAATTGGAGGTCATTTTATAGGAAAGGCCTTAAAACACCATAGGGGTGATAACCCCCTATAAACTGTACTCTTTACTCCTTTCAAAATTATATAAACCCGGGGGCTTATGAGACTAGCCCTAGGAGAACTAAGAGCTACCCAGGCTATGGGCGTATAGACTGGCGGGGGAAGGGAGCGGGTGGGCTTATAAGGTATATCCCAAAATACGGTAGCACGGGGAAGCACAATATAGAATTGAGTGGTTTATACTTAGCAGCCCGTTTATGGGAAGCCGTAAACACTCATAGAAACTAATAATCATCCTTGAACGCCGAACCTAAACCCAAACCCAGACGCTAATCATGACAATAACCCCAGAATCAAAAGCAAAGAATACTCAATTTCTCTTCCTGAGAACCCTCGAACCCGTAGTAGTAGGCGCTGGCTTGCTAGCCTGCACCTTCTTACTCGCCGCTCCTCCCATTCCCCTAATCGTACCCATAACCGTTCTCTTGGCCGGTTCCTTCTTCGCTGCAACTGGCTTTCTTACAATCGTACCATTACTAGCATCGCTCGAATCACTGATCGTACTCGCTCTTCCCCTTGCAACTCTTGGAGCTGGTGCTGGTGCTGGCGCTACAGTTCTCTTGCCCCGTCCTACACCAGTAGTCTTTGCTGGTTCTGCAGGCTTTCGTGTAGCTGCTCGAGTCGACTTGGCTTTCTCTACCATGTTGGTGAGCATTCCCGCCGCCCCTCCTGCTGGTGTTGGTGCTACTGGTTTAAAAGGTGATATTGGACGTGCTAGGTTAGATTTTGCTGGCGATGCTCGCACTGGAGAACGTGGAAAGGTGCGCGAGTTGGCGGATCGTGGCGATAGGACTTGGGATTGTAGTTTCGCTTTGGATGTTGTACGTACAGGTGGAGCTGGTGGTCCGCGGGGTCGTTTCTTTGGGTTCTCAATATCTTCATTCTCCTTGTCGACAGAGTATATTTCGTTACTGAGAATGTTAGTAGATATAGAGAATAGAAACGCGTTTGAAGTCTCACCTATGACGCTTCTTAGGCTTCTGTGGTGAAGAACTCGCGCGAGATTGTTCTTGGATTTGTTTCATTTTCGCTGGTGAGTTTCTCTCGGCGCGTTGCGGACTCTTACTCGCAGTTTTTGTAGCAGCTTCGCTGTATTTCTCCAACAACTCCCCCATATTTGCGCGTCGAAGAGCGGTAGGGATCCGATTAACTCGAATTTCAATACGCGAACGCAATCCCTGTGATTGAAGCATATACTGGGCACGAAGCTTTCTCGCGCGTTCCGTAACTAAAGATAGAAAATTAGCACAGTTCATGGGGTATCTCCTGGAAGAAATCTCACTCTCGAGTTGCAAGTTATCGATCAATGCCTGCTTCTGGCCCAACGTAATACCCATTCTCGCCTTCTTAATGGGGCTTCTCTGCGACGGAGGGGTCTTCATCGGACTGCGCGTTTTTGTAGGTACCATCTGAGGGGGCGCTGGGAAGCTTTGCATGTCTACAGAGCTTCCTGATGATTCAGTCGACTTGCGCGCGGTCTTCTTTGATCGCGTCGGTGCCATGGTGTGATCTGATGTAACTGCTGGCAATGGTTGATATTGCGTTGCTAGTTGCAGAATCGCTAGTTCGTATTCCTCGGTGGTAAGTGAAGTTGTTCTGTTCCTACTGCGGACATGAATCTCGAAAGTAAACAAACGCGTAGTTAAAGTCGCCGCTTCTCATTGTCTACGCTAGTCCCAATAAAGGTCAAGAGCTACAGGGATCCTGCACGACAAGGTACGCGCAGACATAGCTACCTGAGCCTGAACTTGAACCTGAACATCAAAGTGCATCCAACCCCAAAACTTCCACCACAACTCTACACTTCTTCCCAAACCTCACGACCTCCGAACATACCCATACCCCGCAGATCTCAAGCCCTCAGAAAGAGGCAACACACGCAAGATGGGTCTCGAAGCAGTAATGGTAGTGGTAGACAACAGCGAAAGCAGTCGAAACGGAGACTACACACCCACCAGATTCGAAGCACAGTCCGACGCCGTCTCCCTAATCTTCTCCGCCATCACCCAAGGCAACCCCGAATCCTCCGTCGGACTGATGAGCATGGGTGGAAAGGGCCCAGAGGTGTTGGTCACGCTGACAACAGACCATGGGAAGATATTGGAGGGTTTACATCGTACCAAGTCGAAGATTAGAGGGGATAGTCATTTGGCTACGGGAATTCAAATTGCTGGTGTATGTTCTTTTCCCATTTTGTAGCTCTTGATGCTGATGGTCTAAATAGCTTGCACTTAAACACCGACAAAATAAGTCACAACGCCAACGGGTTATTGTCTTTACCTGCAGTCCGATTCCAGAAGATGACAAGACTCTTATCAAGCTGGCCAAGAAGATGAAGAAGGGAGGTGTGGCTATCGATTTTGTAGCCTTTGGCGAGCTCGACGACGACACAACCAAGAAGTTAACCGCATTCAACGAGAACGTCAAAAGTGGTGACGGATCACATCTAGCCATCATCCCCCCCGGACCGGGACTCCTCAGCGACCAACTCGTTACAAGCCCTATACTAAATGGCGATGGGTCAAGCGCAGGTGCAGGAATGGGTGGAGGAGCAGAAGGTGGCGAGGGCGGCAGCTTTGAATTCGGCATTGATCCCAGCGTGGACCCCGAGTTGGCTCTTGCGCTACGCATGAGTATGGAAGAGGAGAAGGCGAGAGTGGAGAAGCAGGGCAAGGAGAAGGCGGATGAGGATGCTAAGGCTGCATTACCGCAGATAAAGGAGGAAGAGGTGAAGGAGGGAGAGGAGGATGCACAACCGTTGTTGAATAAGGATGGGGAGGCGAGTGGGAGTGGGGATAAGGACGCCAAGAAGGATGATGCGGATAAAATGGATCTGGCGTAGGCAGATGTGTTAGTGATATAGCATTGCTGACGGCGTTGGGATGTATCAATAGATTCCCCATGAATGGAGCTTATGAAAGGCATCTATGTTGGGTATTTTGGTCCCATTATATGCCTTGCCTGAACTCCCATTTAAACTCCACTGATATGCAAAGAGCTCTTGATTTGCTCCCATAGTCCATCCATTCCATACTCCAGACGTATTCACGTAGCATTATCATTACTTCCATCCACATCCTGTCCACTACTCTCCCTTTTCCATTCCCCCTTATAGCATAATCACATTCTCCTCCTCCCTCACTCACCGCGAATTAAGTACCCTCATCTCCCGCACCAACCTCCTCTCCCACCCCTCACTCCTAATTGGCATCTCCAGACTATAGAACGGATTCTTCATCACATAATCAGCATAGAGCTCATATATCCTCGCCACGATCTTATCCGTGTTCGGCTGGAAAGGCTCCGTGAACAAGAGGAACTTGGTGCCGGTGAGCGTTTGAAAGCATTGCAGGCGGAAGTGTTCGGTTTCCAGGACTTCGATACCAGAGGGGGCTTCGTTAGGGGGTTGGAGCGGGTTGAGGCGGGTGGTTATGGCGTGGACTCTAGGGTGAGAGGGTTAGAATGGGGTGAGGTTGAAGGGTGGGTGTGGGGGAGAGGAGGGGGAGGTAGGTACCCGTGAAATGTACCGGCTAGGACGAGGTAGTCGTTTACAGAGAGCTTGTTGAGACCTTCGGTGAAGTCGCGCTGGTAAACTAGACCGCCTGCTTTGTTGATTATAATGAGTGCGTAGACGACCCTATATTCAATCAGTTGTGCACTCTTCGTCCTTCTCATTCAAGTCAAGGCAGTGAAACATACATAGTTGCGGCTTATCTGCAGTCGAAAAGGAGGTTTGGAGGATGTAGAAGCTGCACATATATCCGTACAAGCTCTATTTCATGCAGGAAGGGTGATTTGATGGGGAATAGAGGTGGTGTTGCGATTGGCGCATTGCTTGTTGCGAGGCAGGCTACTAGGTTGAATTGGAGTTTCCCCGGATTGTTTCGTTCACAAGCCAAAAGAATTTCTGGAAGCGATTTGGAGCTTTCTGCACGCGACAGACGCTCCCCACCAACAATCTTCCTTCTACTCCCTCCCCCCTTCTCCGTTCCTCTCAACCTCCCCCCATTCCTTTCCCAGCTCCTCCGAATATAACTACGAGCTACATCCCCTTTCCACCGTCGCCTCTACCTCCTCCACCTCACCTCCCATCTCGCGAACCAGTCAATCGCTCATTCAGTCACAATGACAACCCCCCAACACGCAGCAACCTCACGCTCCCGCGAAGCGCCCCAGGGCGACGAAGAAGCCAGCTCGGAACTCCGCCTCGGCGAATTCCAAAACGTAGACGCGCTGACACACTCGGAAGCGGCGCTGGTTATAAACGCGCTGGTTGCGAAGCGGAGGGTCGATCGCAAGAATGTAAATGAGACTGAGTATGTTATTTTTCGCACCGCACCGCACTGTACTGCATTGGGTGGTTTATTTTGGGGGGCATGTACAATTCGACGACAGCATGGATGCAGCTCTACACGGGGATTGATTGTTCTATAAACCTACATACATACAGATACAAAGAAGGAAGGAAAAAAGCAATGGGCGGAAGGAAATTAATGCCGGTTGGTTGATTGTGGAGGCTGAGGCTTATTCGTGTCTCTGGATCTGGGTTTTAGATATCGTGAGACTTTGGCTACCAAGAAAGAACCCGCGCTGACAAGACCCCAAACACGCAGGATCCTGCAAAAGACAACCGATTACCTAGAGCACTTTGCACGGTTCAGACGGAAGGAGAATGTTGAGGCTGTGGAGCGATTATTGACGGCGCATAAGGAGCTTGCGAAGTTCGAGAGGGCCCAACTTGGTATGTCTCTCGCTCTCGCTCTCGCTTTCGGGAAGAGATTTATATTTAGAGGTGATTGGCGGTTACGAGAGCTTCTATCAGTTGTGTTTTCTTGCGGCCTGTTCTCTTGGAGGAAATTAAATTTCGAGAAAGGCTAATTCATATAGGCTCACTCTGCTGTGACACGGCCGAGGAAGCAAAGACGCTGATCCCGAGTCTCACTGATAAGATCACCGATGATGACCTGCAAGAGTTGCTGGATGAGATAACCAAGTTGATGGGATATGGGAGTTAGGATCTTCTTCCCTGTGACAGCGTGGCAAGAAGGTGATGAGGTGAGGTGAGATGCAGTCAGATGCATGCTTGGGGCCAAAAGTCAATTTGGTAATTTGAGTTTGAGTTTGAGAGGCGTTGGTTGCATGGGATGGCTGGTTAAAGAAGCATTGCAAGGCGTGAAATTTGGGGGGAATGGGCATATTCTATGTTCATTGGCGTTTATACCATTTTTCATCTATAGAAATCAAAACACCAAATATAGATTGCAGTCAGGAGGGTGCGTGACTTGACGAGTTTGCGTGAAGTTGTCCTTGTTGTGCTTGTGAAGATGTACCGGTACTACCCAGAGTAGATTTCTCAAGCAAAACAAAGCAGTTTCATTGACTATGGAGAGAAGGTCATTTGAGACGTCAAGTGTTATTTAAATATATATTTATTGAATGTTTATTGATTTTTCTATTTATTTCATGTTTGTTTGTCAAGATGTACAACTCAGCCATGCCCAGTACTCCTAGGAATCCATCCATCCCAATCCTGAAAATGCCCATTCCCATACCAAGAACACCAACCCAACACCATTCGCTATGCTACAGATTAGATTTAGATAAGATTTCCATGGAAGCAGGAAGTAGGGTATATCCTCCTCAAACAACCAAAACAACACAAAACAGGCTTAATAGATAGCTCAACGAAGAGCCCAATCCTCCCTCTCAACCCAACTCTCACGATACACCTGACTCAACGGCGTCTCCGGCGCCATATCAGTCGGACTCGGACTCAGATTCTGATTCCAATTCCAAGCCCCCGCTCCCCCCTGCTGCGGCGGCTTCAACTCACTCCACCGCTGGATCTCATGCTCGATATTCATTGGCGGCGTGCCATTCTCGCCCAGCGGCTCGTCCCCCTGCAGCTCGGCCCGCTTCTTGCTGGGCGCAATCCCCAGCTCGATCTCCCGCTGTCGCTGCTTGCGCGCCCTCTCGCTGCCGTTGCTGTTGCTGGGCCCGATGCCGGACAGGTTGCCTGCTGAGTACGACGCCCAGGATAGGACGTGGTCTTCGCGGATCTTGTCTAGGTGTGGGGCCTCGAGCTGGATATGGTCTTCGCGCAAGTTCATGTTTGCTGAGAGGCGTGGTGCTTCAGGTTCTGGTTCAGGTTCTCGTTCTGGTGTTGGGGGCGTGATCTCGGGTGTTGGGGGCATGATCTCTGGCGTTGATGGGGGAGAAGAAGCAGGAGCAGGAGCAGTAGCAGAAGAGTTCTCGACTAATTTGCTCTTTCCGAATCGTTGAATTGGTAGGCATGATGCTGTGGCCGTGACGGGTGTTTCGATTTCCGGGCTCGTTGGGGTATCAACGCCGAGGCCAATAGGGATGGTGTAGGTGCTGAGCCCCGTTTTAGCGCTGTTGTCGCGCTGCATATCGCGGTGGCCTGGCCGGAAGGATTGATGGTTGTCTCGGGAGTTGAAGCGGAAGAGGAGGCTGCTATCACGTTTTGGGGGCGAGGCCGCTGGAGGCACTTCTGCAGGTAGCTCGGTACGGGAGGGCTTCCCCCGCGAATTGCGAATTTTGCTGAAGAAAGTAAATCCTTCTGGTGGGGGTATTATTTCTTGTTGGAGGTTGGACGGCTTCTTGCGCAAAGCCCCCAGGGGCTGTGGTGGTGAACGGGCCGAGCGGAAGGCGGGGTGTTGGGAGAGGTTGTGAAGATGGTAAGCGGGATGTTGTTGTTGTTGGGGTGAGTGGATTGGTGTTATTGGTGTCGTTGGTGTTGTAGGTGTGATCGGTGATGGCAAGTATGGGGAGAAATTTGCATACCCAGGTGTTTGGCCTGGTAGTGGGTGATAGGCTGGATGCTCGTCGTCTGGTGGTGGCTCAAGGCCAACTTTTTCATCTCGAGGGGAAAGCGGCTCATCTTCTTCATATCTTGAAGCAATATCCATAGAACTATCTCTTCTGCTGCTAAATACTGTTGCTGTGCCGGTAAGTGGCGCTTTTTGGTATCCTGTTCTTCTGTTAGTCCAGCATCGAGGAAGAACAACAACTTTTCATACCACCATATGAACCCAAGGCTTCCCCGCCACGAGCCTGGTCATCATCGTTGCTCTGCCTTCTCAAGTCATATTCCTTTTCGAATGCCGTGTCCTGGTTGAACTCCTGTTGCTTCTTCTTTTGTTGCCTCCTCTTCAAAAAGAACCATGCCAAAACTGATAATATCGCCAACCCAACTATCGAACAGACAACCCCAGCAATGATTGGTGTACTTGATCCTTTATGAGCTGTTGAACTGGATACAGGTGTTGGTACAGCTGTGGATGTCGGAGATGCTGATGCGGCTACGTTTGCGAGAGCCGTAGCTTGTGCTGGTGTTGTTGTGGCAGGATCAATTACTGTCGTCTTGGCAGCAACTCCTTCTGTCGATAAAGTAATCGTGACAGTGGGTGCATTTGTTGTATCATCTGGACATCCAGGTAGATCACAGACGTTCGAAGCGGTACAGCAACCATTAAACCCATTGCTCGAACATGTATAATAGGTCATGCCCGGTTGACATGTTGCCCTCTCGAATAGCTGACCTAGAAACATCTTGTCTCTATCAACCTTAATCCGTAGGACCCCGAAGGAAGACGAAAGTTTGAAAACTGAATAGCAACAAGATTGAAGGATAGGCAAGAGGAACAGGCTCCATGTATAGCCGGGTGTCTGTGTCAAATAGGAAGATGGATTGATGGACAGGCATAAAGATCGGCCTGGACTAAGTGATAGGCAGAACGTGGGAATCCAACACAGCGGAACGACGTGAATATGATCGCCGACTCGAGTGCAGTAGGGAAGGAGTGTAGATGTACTACTACTACAGCTACTTTTCTACCGGGATGTATAGACATGGATTAACTGACGAAGGCTGGTCAACGAACGGCTGGTCTATCCCTCCCGATCGCTAGTCTTTCGTTCGATTAGCCACAAAGGACTGCAACCGGGAGGCGATAGAGGTAGGGGCCAAGGACCAAGATAGGGGGTCCTACTTTTGGGGTGAAGAAAGCATGCACACTACTTAGCACTGCCTCGTGGTTGGAGCAAGTATCTGCTGCAAAAGAGAATTGTTGCGGTTGGGAGGTGTGTAGGAAACTGTGGGTTGTTCTGCAGCAAGCAGCCCATCGTCCCTGCAGGTACTGTACGAACTTGTAAGCTTGAACGAAGTGAGAAGTGGGAGAAACGGGGAATCTAGTAGGGTAGGGTAGGGGTGGGGTGGGTGACAAGGGGTAAAGTGACTACAGTACTAATAAGCGAGCGTTGTTTTTCACTGTTTTCAGGGGGGAGAAGGCTCCCCTAGGCGACAATCAGCTAGGCTCGGTAGCCAGGGGTGGAGAGTTCCATCACTGTGGCTTCAGTGATCACAGCGCCCAGGACGCCATCGACTTGTTCCGTAGTGTAGTGTACGGCGTCAGGGCGTACAGGTAAACGGTTGTGGACTTGTTGCACTGTACTACACCACACTACGGTGTTACTTCATACCTGCGCCTCCCAATAATCCTTCACACAGCCAAACCACCACCACCTCGCCGGTTGGCTGATGCGATACGAGGGTGAACTGCTCACTCGCCCAAAGCAAGCTCGCGAATGTTTTACGAATAGCAGCCAAGTCATGTTCAGGCTTCTGATTAGCACTCTCCCCATTGTCAGTACAATAATGGTATCCTATGCGGATGCAAGTTCCGCATATCAAATTGCATCGTTGCGGTGTAATATCCGGGGAATATTAATTACATTCAGCATGTCAGCCAGCTCCACGTCAATCAGCATATTAATCAGTGGCCGATACTGTGTGTCAACCCTTTTACTAAGGACCCATAAAAGATACTTATTAGATACCGGCATCTTATCAATCCTACGATGTCGTGCGATCGCGATCGCACTGCAATTATACTCCGTGCAGTATGTATTCCGTAAGTATCGCTGCTGCTTGTGAAGTACTATTTTTAACTCATACAGACATCTACGGTACCATGTTGCGGCAAGCGGCGAGATGACATGGTATCCACATGGCGACCAAGGACTGGTGTCTAGATACAGGCAAGATGCGCAGTAGGTACCCTGCTAGAATGCGAGCTGATCACTAGTCAGCATGTTAAGCCTCGTGCAAGTTACGAGGTTCTCGATGGTTAGTAAATTTCCAAATAAAGCACAGCGCTAGGTACGAAGTATTTCCGTCCGTACGAGCTGCTACCTACAGAGGTACTAGTGTAAACCAGATGAGGAATTTCCAGCCTCAAGTGCCGGCCATGCCTAGTGCACATATTCTTGCGATAATCAGATGATAAATATATAGACCAGTCGGTTACTCCCATCTGATTCCTTCCTGTGAAGCCTTTTCCCGTTTTTAAGGCCTTTATCAGCTCCCTCCTGGGTTCCTCGGCGATTACGACTTACAATTGCCTCAAATTCCCAGGTCGTACGAGATTACGGACTATTCATTCCGAGTTCAGCCTCAGGGGTAATTCAGCCAAGATTACGAGTAATATGCTCCGATTCGAGTTCATTTCATTGCTCAAATACGCCGTATCATTTCATTTGCCCTCGTTCGTTTCGAGTATGCTTTGGTACTACCACGTGTAACCCACGAGCTCTCTTTCGAGATACTAAGGGTGTTCATCGTATGCGGGGTAACTAAGCCGTTCTAAAGGATTGCATGATTACATCCTGCGGTCCTTGAAAATGCAAATCGCTCCTCAAAGTTTAGAAGCACCTGCATACCACGAGATTACCTTACCAGAGATCTCCGTATAGTCACATCACATTTTACAAGCAATATGTATGTCCCTTGAAAACACAGAAACACCTGCATGCTGCAAGCAATCAAACTTCCTAAACACCTTCCGCATACAGCACACCGCGATACCTCATCTTTCCCTCATCAAGCTTGTTGAGACTTTCCACCACACCCTATTTGGTCACAGGAAAATGCTCAATCATAGGCTCGATTCCATGTAAACCTGCGAAGTCCAACATCCTCTGATAAACAATCTTCGGTGATGTAGTACATCCAATAAGCATCCATCCGCTAAGCATGAACTGCATGTGAGGAAGGACAAGCTTCGTCTTGAAATCCGTGGTAGTGAGTGGGTAGATGCTCGCCCTCGGAGCCAAAATGGACTTGTACTGATCCCAGTCTGGCATCTGGTTCGTTGTAACCAGCAGATGGTCGACTTTCCTTGGGACTTTCACATCGCTCACTCCTTTCGTAGCTACGAAATGGTGCGCACCGAGTTTCAAAGCCTCATCTTTCTTCGTCTCCGTTCCACTAAGCGCGACGACTTCACAGCCGAGCTTGTTCGCAAACTGAACAGCCAAGTGGCCAAGTGCCATATCATAGGTGCGGTAGTGTTCGTCTGTGCCGCAGACGCCGGAGTGTGTGATTTTGATATAGACTTGATCTCTGGTAAGTGGGAGGTGCTTTCGACAATGTCTTCTGAGGAAGAACCCTTGAAGATTTTAAAGTCGTAGGAAGTCATGTTTGCTTTAGACTTCGGTGTACGGTGCAATTGATTCGGAGGCATGATTTTTGACAGCAATGAATATTGGCGTGAATGTTGATTTCCGACTATACTAGTCCTTGTCGTTTATTACTAATTACCTAGGCATAACCGTGTTACCTTCAGCCTTACACAAGTAGACCTGAGGCCGCCCACCGCTTACTCCCCCCGATCGGTAAGCAATAGGGCGTCGATGTTCAACCCTATGCAAAGGCTGCAACATAAGTCTTGCATTTTTTAATTAGAAGTAGATTAGCCATTTCGTTATACCTTATCTGGAATTCCAACGCCCAAGAAATCCAAAATCCTCGTCAGAGCTTGTTCATCACCAGCCTCTGTCTATCAACTTAGCATTAACCTACCTATCTGTCCAACTGGCCTAAAATCAACCAGATAGCAATTATCCGTTTTGCTATTAATCAGAACATTCTCTAGTTTCCTATCACCCCACACCACGCCAATCCTATATAGCAACTTAAGGTTACGCCGAATCTGCTCCGCTTATTTTCTCCTCCGCTCGGTAGCGATCTTTTTATTGTTCTGAGACCTCCCTAAAGTTGTTATATGCGGAACATACTCTTCCAAAATTATAATAACCTCCTTATCACTATCGTTAACAATAAAGCCGATTAATCTAGGTGCTCTAATAGAATAGGCGTGTTTAGAATCCGTATTTTTCTTTAAACACCCGTATTTACGCTGCACCGGCTGAATATGAGTAGGCGCTAGCACCTTGCAGCACATATCCTGCCTATTAGCAGAGACTTTCGTGATATATCTACGCTACATGTCTCTGCGCACCTGCTAGATTTCGGGATGGAAAGCAAAATTTGAAAATTACGTTGCTTGTACTAGCCCTATGTAGACCACCTCTGGAACTTGCTTGCATCTGGTATGTTTAGCGCCTCTCTTCTTTGATTTTCATCTTCCGACGGACTAAGATCAAACACATCTATATGCTCAATCTCCCAGCCGAGGGGCCTATCCCGATAGTTTATACTCTAAAAAAGTACTATGAAAGACATAATTGCAGTACGTATAAACAGTGGGGGAAATGCTGAATTTGGAAACAGCCCCTACGATAGTACGATAAAGGATGCGAGGCATTTCAAGTGGCTCCATTTTCCGGTATTCAAAGCTGGGAAATGCTAAAGAGTTTGCAAATAGGCCTGACCAATAGACTAGAAGATAAGGAGCTGTGATACATTCGGAACGAACACGCCCTTTAATAAAGGAAGCTTTTAGGGTCTGAAGCGAGAGAATACTAAGAATATTTCAAACAAAGTGGCTTGCTATAAGAAGGACAAGGGAAAATAGGAATTGTGCCTATTTCGCTCTTGCTAGTATAGAGTTGCAGTATATGAAAATTCCAGCTCCGATGATCCTTTAAGAAGGTAAGTGGCTTTCCGCGGAAGTCTTTATGTGAGCTCCTATGCGCAGTATACACCAAAGATTGCAGAAGGTTAGGCAGATTCCATGCGAGTAAATTATCTTAAGCCGATTCAATTACCATTTGAAACATCGGCACGTTGTGTTTGTGTTGTAAACGCGGGTGAGCGAAGACTATTACCAACATTGAATTATGTCGGTGGAAGCACATTCGTTGGTGATGCAAAAACTTGCAAAGCCTGCCTCATTAAGGTGTGAAGGCACATGTGACGAATCCTTCAGCCTTGCATTAGGGGCCAACGAGGCTTTCCAGTCGTGCCGTCTCTATTCTCGGCGTTCTATTAGTGTAGAACTTGAGGTTTACCGGTAGAGCAACGTTCGTTGTGAACTAGTTGGGGGGTGGTGATGGCAATGGTGGCCAAGGCGCATGCGGGGTGGCGAGGCTGTGGTTTCCGGGTTTGCAACTTGGTATGGAAGATACGAAGTATACTGCGTATACAAAGGATACTTTTATCGAGCGCAATAGCCCCCTGTCGTTCCATTTTGGAGAAGGCTGAGGTCAGAAGTCAGTGTGCTTCCGACACGGTGGAGGTGCTAAAGATAGACGCTCCCTAGCGCCCACGAGGACTGAACGAGAGCCCCACATGCGGGCCAACGTCTGAGAAATAGGCCAGCTCTTCTCCAGTCTAGGTCAGCAATCGTCGATATGGCATCGTGCTCGACGACTTCCCAACTTCAAGATGGCCCTCCCTTGGTACGGACTAGGGGTTTGTTCAACATTCGTCGATCTCCAGTGTGAAATAACGACCGCGTGCGGATCGACGTCTCTTTCCTCCCTGCTAAGCATCAATAGGAGCTTTTTGCAGCATCATTGCATGCCTAGGATGGCGATCTGTACTGAGATCTGGCGGTCAAGCACACAATCATCGATCACTTAAGGACGTTCCCGAACTATCGGAATCGAAGAGCATAGCTATTGCTAGATGCTGTAGTGTCTACGTTAGTAGCGGACACTACTAATCTTGCTCTTTATCTCGAACTACTGCCTCGTACGCTTTGTTAGTTCCTACTAACCTACGTTTCTAGGCTGCCATTGGCAACTCAAATCAGAATAGTACAGTTTGTAGAAAGCGGGATCATAAGTACATTATTCGGGTTTCCCAGACATGCAAACATTCACGCTACTCTGCGTCCTGCCAGTCGCAGGATCTCTTGTTCCTGCGCCTCTATTCTCCATCAATCCAAATCTTGGTGGTCGGGGTGGGGTTCCATATCCCACTTTTTTGTCGGATTTTGTTGCAACTTTGCTACTTATATTCGTGTTATACCGTTGAAGATCTAGACCCAACTTTGGGTGAGCCTGAGAAGACAGACAATGAAAAAGGTCTCAATTTTCTAACCTCGAGATATATGTTGCAAAGTGTTGGGTTTATTTGACTATACATTGGACTGCGACTTTGCGAGGAGATGGAACTGCCATGTCAACGACAGGCGCTTTAAGCGCGGCAACTTTGCTAGTGCACTGGTTGTTTGACGCTCTCTTTACTTCGAAAGACTTTGAACATTGCTGTGTGGCATATACAAGCAAGCACCGTTGGCATCGTCTTGTTAGAATCATACCTATGAGAAGACAATCAAAGTCGGCATGTATGGAGTGCTTCGTTCCTGGTCACCTCGACAGTTGGTTCTTTTGATATGATATTCCACTAGTAGTATTTGATTTGACCTGTCAGCTCACGGTGGCTTAATTTCTATCTCAAAAACCGAATTGCAACGGCTATTTCACTGACGAGCCACATACCTCCAACTCAGATGCTCCTTGGATCCGCGATGGCTTGGACGGCTTGAAAGATTGTTTAACGATACCAACAGGAATATATGAATGGTGTTGGAAAATGGGCAATGTCATGGAGTATGGCATATTAAATCTGTATCAAAGTAGAATGTCCATGGCGATAGAAGAGAAGAGTTAAGTGGATTGACTTATGCATGTTTACTATACCAAAGCGGTATCCTTCGTTCTTTCATTTCTTTTCTTCTTTCCGCTACTTAATGCTTCATTTCATTTTCACCGCTGCTCCATTATACCTTCAATTTCTCCATTTCCGTACAGTACGCCGGGCGGTCTCCCCTTCTCCTATATTGAGCTGGCCCTGCCAGTAGACCCACCGCTTGATAGATCTGCGGCTTGTTGACTATTATTCTCAACTCTACCATATCTGACAATCTATATACTCGATGTCTCCCTTTGCGCATGTAAGCCTCCACGGAACGATACCATCGATGGCGCGTCGCTCTATGAGTACGCTTGGTACTCAGAGCGGCAACCCTGAACGATTACCTGTTGCTTCGACTATTACGTGCCGGCCCAGAAGGCCATCCCTTATACGTATACGTACCCCCAGTGAAGCAGATCATTCTCCGGGATGGCAGTCGTGGCTCAATAGAGACAACTTTGCTTTCTTCATCCTCGGTCTCCTGGTGAGTGCTCACTATACGAGCCCTCTCACTCTCACTCTCATACTCGCTCGCACGTGCACATCTAGTGCGTTCCAGTAGACCATCGCTGACTGCTCTCAAGGTGCCGCTTCCCGCCGTGACGGTCATGGCTGCCTCTCGTCTTATGTTCCCTGGGCACACGGGCGTATCTGGTATCGTTCTAGCTCTGCCTGCAGCAATGGTGTCGTTCGCCCTCCCCATGTTCGCAACCCGAATATCACACAACATCATACTCCTCCTCAACGTCCTGCTCGGAATTCTCGCACTCCTGTTTTCGACCCTGGGTAGCGAGATGGCTGGCCCAGTCATTGGAACTGCACTCGCAGGTATTGCTTCTGCCCTTGGACAGTATCTATACCTCGGTGTTGCGGCGTCATACGATCAACGGGTGGTCATCACTTTCAGTCTCGGAAATCGTAAGTTACAATACACCTACCTACCTTTGCGGTAGAGTGCCTTCCTAACGATGGACAGGATCCATTTTGGTTGTCAGAGAAGGCATCTACGTTGGTCTGATGGCATTATTTCACCAAGATTGGAAATGGACGCTTCGAGCCGTGATGCTATTTCCTGTGATTCAGGTTGCCATCTGGAGTTTTATGCTCTCTCAAGACCTCCTCCAGGAAGCGGAGAAAACGAGGAAACTCATTGATAACCTCGAGACGCATTCAGACATTCCTCTTGCCCATGACTCAGGACCAACTGTAATGTCAACCGAGTTGCCAAAGCACTTTGGCCTAGGCCGCACCAAAAAGTGCTTCTTGTTCCGGACAATCTTGCCAATGTACACTCTGCCCCTTATCGTTGCAGTGAGCGGCTCGATGGTTGCCACGACCGGGTTAGCATCCACATACAATTACCTCGACTCTTTCAAGCTTGCGCCAAAGGGCGACCTGAACTGGCAACTCGATTGTTCGTATATGTAATTTCTCGAACCCCTTAGCATTATTTGACTAACTAGCACAACTGCAGGGCTCGCTTCTGGATTGGGCGAGATTGCTTTCGCCATGATATCACTCTTCCGTGCCCTGCCATTCCTCTGGGGCTGGGCAATTATCCAATGCATCGTCGTGGCAATAGGCATTGCAAACCTCTTTCACCCCTTTCTGACCTACTTACCTATCTGGCTCTTCCTCACATTTCTCATTGGTGGATTCGAAGGTGCGGCTGTCACCAACACGAACTACAAAATCGCCGACGACTTGCGCAAAAGCGGGGATCGTGAAGAAGTAAGGGCATTTGCGATGAGTTATGGTGGGCTAGGAAGCTTTCTTGGCGATGCCATTGGTGGTGGGATCTCTGTTGCGATCCAGGAATTAAGTAAACGTTACTTGAAACCTAGAGTTTGAGTTTGAAGCTATTGGCGAGGTGTTTGTATTTTCTTTGTATAGTGTCTTTTTATGGTTCTCAAAAGCGCGGAGTCGGATTTAAGGTTGCATTTTCGATGGTCCTAGACGCTGTTAAATACTTTCTTGGCTCTATAACACCTGGGTAGAAGGGGCGGAAGTGAGCAGAGTGAGGACGCATTCATACATGGAAGTAAGTTGCGCATTTTAGGACAGAGAATAGACATGCTCTGTAGAAAGGAGGTTAGTGGTGAGAGCTTCATCTGGCGTGTCCCGGACACATAGATCGCGAATAAACGCAATAATAGACCGAGTTGACCAGACAGATGCTGATGTTGTATCGTGGACTTTCAAATCCAAGTTCATGTGAGCAGGTGCTGACTTCACGTGAACCTATCTAACCAATTGTAGTGGCCAGATTTTAACCACCCAATCTACTCACCGAAAGTTCCACATTATTCATGCAGTACCATGTACAGCCACGGAAGCTGGATATTGGGAGCCTGGTTCATTGATATGTCACAGGTGCCCCTTCTTATTAACACTGGCACCTCAGGTGTCCGTGCCGTATTTCGCGTCTACCTCCTCTCTTCTAGACTTATATAATTAATCGATCGTCATGGAATCTTTCTATACATTATCATCTGAGGGTGACACTTCAGTAAGAAACATTTTCAGTAGTTTTAGAAACGAGGAGCTAGCTAACACGGGAAAGGACAGGACCACGTTGACGACCCCATCACCGATAACACACGACACTTCACGGGCCAGCTACCACATCAGTGATATCAGCTCATTTGCCGAGAACCTTCAAGATGTATTGACCTGCCCGAGACATTCTGATTGATGAGTCCCGTTGCTGAAGACTTGTAGGCTGCCAATCGGGCATTTCCAAATCGCGGCCGGTCCCGATATAAGACAGTCAACGTGTGCCTGATCAGATGGCAAGAGGACGAGCTTGAAGTAAAGTCAGAGCTTGAGAGACTCTACCACGTCTTTGATAAGCTTTACGGCTTCAATACCCAGATATGGCTCATCCCGCCCAGAGCATCCCAGATCCAGCTCACGAGCATGACTTGCTCTTTTCTCCAGGAATTCGACGACGAAGACAATCTGTTCATCGTCTACTATGGCGGCCATGGCACGATCAATCAATCTAGACAGAGCCAATGGTGGTGCAGTCGTAGTCCTGGGTCCCCATTCGTCGACTGGTCAGCTATTCAAGCCTTGTTTTCGACTGCTCTCTCGGATGTTCTAGTCCTTCTTGATTGCTGCGCGGCAGCTAGTTCAGCGCAAAGCTCTGGAAAAAATGTCATGGAAGCTATTGCCGCATGTGGATTTGAGACCAGAGCACCGCCTCCGGGGATTTACTCATTCACTAATACACTCATCGAGGTTCTTGAAGACTGGGTCAATAAACTTTCATTCTCGGCTGCCATGCTGCACACTGAGATTTTATTCGTATTGAAGCAAAAGCGACCCGAGCGAGGAAGGGACGGAAGAAGACTTGAGTGGTGTTCGACACCAATCCATTTGGTGTACACCAGTAATCCAAAGTCACCAGGGGTTGAACTGTGTTGTTTGAAGAGCGCGAAGTCGGCGCAGAAAGCAAAAGCTGGTCCTGTGTCTCAAACGCCAAACCGATCCACCTCATACGTTGACAGCATGGATCTCGATGACGATGGTTTATCAGAAGCCCTATCCGCTTGCCAAGATAGTGGAAAATATCAGATTCCTCATGTCCTCATCTCAATTGCACTCGAGGAAGAACAAGCGGATCTGGATGCCTCATCTTGTCGTCGGTGGCTTTCGAACTTTCCAGCACTGGTGAAATATGCTACGGTTGAAGGAGTATATCGAGGAAACTCAACTTTAATCACAATGTCGTTGCCGGTAATGATATGGGACTGTTTGCCAAATAATCCGGCCTGCTCCTTCATTGGCTTTGTAAACACGCCAAACCGATACAGCCAGTCATTTTGTCGATCAGATATTATGGTGGTACCAGAACAGGAACCAACCATATCGAGTAGAAGAATCCCGGCAAGATCCAAGCTTGTAGAGAATTCTAAATTGGGTTGGGATAGTTCTTACGGATCCGATTCTCCTCCCTCTGCCGGTCCCGTTGTTCCGGGCAGTAATTTCTCACCAAAGAACTTGTAAGTCTGCACTACCAGTTGCCTCGAAGCATGCTGATTCCACAATAGCGGGTCCAAACGGCCGACCCGTAAAAACATAAAGGCAACAAACTTTGCTCTCGGTGGATCGACTGGCAGCGAAAGTGACTTAGGTGAACTTTCCGCCAGCAAGAAGCATGTCCCCTTCAAGCAAGCGATAAGGGCGAATGCTTTCCGAGAAGATATAATAGCTGATGAGGAACTTTTCGAAGACGGCTCTGAAAGTTATGAGGATATCATAGACGGCGAGGAGTCTTCAGATTGGGAAGATCCTATCGACGAGAGCAAAGACTTGAATACCAACGACAAAAGTTTCTTCCGGCGATTGGACTCAGGAGCTAATCGTAGTTCCCCAAAGTCCTTGATATCGACCATGCTACACCGAGATGGCCGCGCGAGAGCATTCACAAATCCGGACCCAGCTGACGTCGCTGAGAAAGTTCCTTCAGGGTCCCAACCAATCAATATGAACAACAAAAAATCACGGGGCCACCAGACAGCATACTCACCTCGCAAATCAAGACGCAATATGATCGCTACCGAGCTAACTCCTAGCCTCCGCCTACATCTTCTTTGGGAGCATAAACAAAATTCCCGAACTGAAAAGGGGATGCTTAAGCGTAGGCATTCTGATGTTGGTACCCTGAAACAGCATCCCGAGAAATTTTATATAAGTGACGAAGCTATTGGAGATGGCGGGTACAGTTTCTTGGATGAGGGGTCCGGCGAATACCATTCTAAGGGGTGGTAGGATGTTTTTGTGGACTAGGGGATTTCGGGTTGGTTTTTAGAGTTGTGAAGTCGACGAGACAAGAGGTAATATGGAGTAAAACCAATCCCTGGTTAGTGTTTAATGATAAGGCAATATTGCACTTACTCGAAATGAGCCAATCTTCCTTTCGAGGGGTGTCACTCCTTCATATGAGCTGACCCTAACTGCAACGGAAGTGGCAATCCTATTTTCATCAGAACCAAAGCTGGACATCATTCAGCGAACTATACTCCCCTCTGAAGAGGCTTTTTGGATCCTAGCACAGCAATAGCGATAATCGGTGCCTTCTCAGCGTGGCCGAGTTGGAGCTCACTCAGTCAGGGGGTGTCCCAATTACAGGGAAACGGCCTCTAAGAGTGTCTTAGATATTGCGAACGAGCCTTCATAAATAGTTGCTTAGTGATCCTACAAAAACTCATAGATACTTGGAACAGGACCCTTCGGGAAAAAGCAAGGTGTAGAAGGCAGAGCTGGAAACAGTGTATTGGGTGACAGCGTTCATGAGAGAGATGAGGATGATTGAGCCACCTGGAAACACGCCCATTTCCGGCAGGTGACCGTACAGTAATGTTCCTGTCGGGGTTTAATAAATTCTATAAATTGACTTTATAAAAAAGCTTCTGAGCACTGCTTAGTGCAAATGATCAAAATCCCAAAAGATATATATGAGAGACATCGAGGTAGAGTGAGCTTGAAAAGAGGTGCTATAGCCGGCATAGGCTTAGAGCTACAGCCAACCTGGTCCTCATCGTAACCTGAAATATTATGCCATCTACTATACGGAGTACTTATGATAGGATAGAGAAGCTTTTGTCACAAGGGAAATACGAGGAGATGTTCATATATAGAAAAAAGGAGTAAAGTGTTATATTGTTTAGACTGCTCGGTTGTTGCCCAACATCGCCTCGCGTCACCCCAGAACTTTTCAGTGGGACGACACGACACGTCTAGCCTCGCCCTCCACCATATAATTGCAGATGATAATGCAACCACGACTCTCTACAGCTACGACTCGGTGACAATGGTAGGCCCTTCTCCTCATAGACCACGGCGGAAGGCCAAGAAGACGACGACCGGCAACGGCAGCGAGGTATCTTCAGTCGCGCCGTCTGCAAGCTCGCGATCTTCTTCTTCTTCCTCCTCGGCCAAACCGGCATACCCATTGGCAGCTTTCCTCTGGCCAGCGCGGAGCTCAGTATCAAAATGGGAGATCTTGCCCTTGATCTTGATGGCAGTAGGCCTTTTCAGGTGGGCAGCAGGGCTTTGGGGCTATTCAGGTATTTACGGCTTCAGGGACTGGCAAAGACTCCACGCTGACATTCTCCAGGATTCCAAAACCCCCCCATGCACGGCGACTACGAAGCTCAAAGACACTGGATGGAGATAACTACCAAATTGCCCATATCACAATGGTACTTCCACGACCTCGAATGGTGGGGACTCGACTACCCGCCTTTGACCGCATACCATAGCTGGCTTCTGGGCACAATTGGAGGACTGATTGATCCATCGTGGTTCGCCCTGCATACCTCCCGCGGTCTCGAGGATCCTACGTTGAAGGTCTTTATGCGGGCAACTGTCATCGTATCCGAATACCTTATCTACGTACCGGCTGCGGTAATACTCGTGAGGAGGCTTAGCAAGCACCACGGTGTCAATACATGGAACGCTGCCGTTGCGCTAACTGCAATTCTGATGCAGCCGGGAACTATCTTGATAGATCACGTACATTTTCAATACAATACGGTCATGTTGGGTCTGGTACTTGCCAGTATGTCAAGCGTCCTAGCGGGAAGGTTCATGTGGAGCTGTGTCTTCTTCGTGTTGGCACTAGGGTTCAAACAGATGGCATTGTACTACGCACCAGCTATGTTTGCATACCTTCTTGGTGTTTGCTTCTTCCCTCGCATCAATGTTCCTCGTTTTCTCGGCATAGCAGCTGTCACATTGGCTACATTCGCAATTTTGCTCTTACCTATATTCTTGGGAGCATTATACGATGCCCATCGAGGTGTCGATGTTCGACCTGAGCTCTTCGGCCACCCAGCTCCCTTGCCCATATTCTCTGAACACTCGTTCAAGATCAACTACAGTGCTTGGTACTTTCCTATCATTCAACAAGCGGCTCAAATCGTCCATCGTGTTTTTCCTTTTGCACGTGGTCTCTTCGAAGACAAGGTCGCTAATTTCTGGTGTGCTCTGAATGTCATCATCAAGCTTCGAAACTATCCCTCTGAACTTCTTCAACAAGCTTCCTTACTTCTTACACTTGCTGCCATTACACCTGGCTGCTTTGTCATTTTCATCAGGCCCAGAAAAGAAAATCTACCTTTGGCACTAGCCACCACCGCCTGGGGTTTCTTCCTTTTCAGTTTCCAGGTCCACGAGAAGAGTGTTCTGCTGCCATTGATGCCGATGACCGCAGTCCTAGCAGGCAATCACGGTCTCAGCAAGAATGTACGCGCATGGGTTGGCTTCGCAAATCTCCTGGCTGTATGGACAATGTTCCCCCTTCTTCAGCGTGTCGATTTGCGCATCCCGTACTTCGTCCTTTCCCTTCTTTGGGCATATCTCCTGGGCCTTCCACCGACTTCGTTTTCTGTATATCATCAAGATGGAAATCCTTCTTGGTCTGGATTTGCGACAACAACCCTGCATTTGATTTTCTACATTATCATGGGTATCTGGCATTTAGCCGAAGCGTTCCTGTTGCCACCCCATGAAAAACCAGATCTTTGGGTCGTGATAAACGTTGGTGTTGGAACAATAGGATTTGGGATATGTTACCTTTGGTGTCTATGGAACCTGGTTGTCGGAAGTGGTCTTGTTGAATCTTCGAAATCGGAAAAGCGAAAAGCCAAGACTCAGTAACCATTTATAGCTCGTTATATACCCAGAGGTCTGAGGCCTGTGCTTCTTTGCATGTAATATATATTCCAGAACATCTGCCTAAGCGATCTAGTACATCTTGTACCCTAGCGATCTATCTCAGGATCAAGTTATTTTTGTTTCGGAGCTGCCAAATTGGGGTTGAGCCGCGCAAGGGTGCAACCCAGCACTGACGGGCTGGATGGACCCAAATACCAGGATTTACACAAGTGGGTTCGCTACCGGGACAGCTCCAGCTACTAGGCACTCCTTGCTATTCTTCCGCTCTACCACACTTCCCTACCTCCTTGCACGATTTCTGCGTCCTTAGCCTAATATTAATTGATGTAATTTGCTGGCTAAATCTTGGCTTTAGGCAGGCATGAGGATACAATGTTCAGGTATCGCTGGACTTGCATTTTGCCGTAAGTCTGACAGCCCCGCTATAAATCCACTACTTGGTGTAGGAAGACAGCTTCCTAATGGTCTAACTGGCTCTTTACCCTAGTATAAATCCTTAAAACCACAAATATACTTCGTACCCAAATAAAGCGCGATTTCTATGTTTGGGTCTGTTAGATGCCCTAGAATAGTCAAATGTACGAAGTAAGCTTTTTAAGTGGTGGGAGTATATGACTTAAATGAGACTATTACGACTGATAGAAATAATGAGGTAAGTTGAGAGATTTGGGAGACCTGTCAGAGACAGAGCTGATTCCAATTCCATCCTACTGTAGGATACAGGATCTAAGCCGGTAACCATGGTCTTTTGTCGCAACAATTCGATTCCTGCATGTGAGTCTCCAGATGAACTAAGGCTCTCCCCCAAAAGCTTGAAGCCACAAGGCTAAATCACTTAGTGCTCTCGGGCTGTCCGCACAGCTTTCAAGTCTCTCGGCGTATTTCTGCGTATTGCTCTGCTTTATTAGGACCCCGCCGCCGCCGCCGCAATTTGTGGCGCAATTGCTTGTAATTTGGTCCTTGACTCCTTGGGCCGTTGGAGGCTGACTGTATCTTGAAATTTCTTTATCACGACCAGGGTTTGCAGCTGTATGCTACTAGTGTGCAATCCTCATGGGTACGTAGGATAGGTATCCTTCATCGGCCCACCCCGCACGTAGGTAGTTCGATTGATTACTTGCTCCCTTCCCCCAGCGGACCCAACCTGAGTCTCATTAATGATGACAAGTGCTTGATTCAATATACCAAACGTCCAAGCCTCATATACTATCGATAATGTTGCTGAACGTTTTCGCAGCCGTGTTGATAACTTTGATCGGCCCGACATTGGGAAAGGACGCATCAACAACGACCACTTCCGCGCCTGTAGCCACACATACAGTATCTGTTGGAGCAGTAAGTTACCAAAAGCGTCTCGTCGCAGTACTTCAACAATTCAGAAGCTAACAGCAATGTTCATCTAGGATGGATTTAATTTCTCCCCGAGTCAAGTATTCGCAAATGTTGGCGACATAATAGGTACGAGACGCCCAAGCTGAAGAGAAAGAACGAAGGACCTTAATTGACCGGCTTCTAGAATACCGATTCTACCCTCAAAATCACTCTGTTGCTAGAGCGGCATTTGGAAGCAATCCATGTATTCCATACGAAGATACTGGACCCGGCTTGGTGGGTTTTTGGAGCGGGTTTCGTCCTGTAGCCTTAGTATTATCAAATGTATGGAAGGGAATCCCACTCTTTCGAGCGCAGAATTAGCTGACGAAACTGAATTCCAGCCTCCGATCTTTTCATTACCTATTAATGATACCGACCCGGTATTCTTCTACTGTTCCGCTCCGGGGGCATGCCTCCAGGGTATGGTCGGAGTCGTGAATCCCGTAGGTGTTAATACGCCTTTATTATCATTGTTGCAAACTAATACTTTCAGAATTCTTCGTGGACTTATGAAGCCCAGTTTAACTATACACAAAATGCAACAATAGAATTTAGTCCATTGGAATACTTCCCTAAAGAAGAGGCCCCGACGCGAACGACAACCGCGACGGGAGCAACAGCTACTCCTACAGCGGTTTCCACATCCTCATCGGCTGCCACTACATCGTCAGCTCCGGCCCTGACTGCGGAACACAAAAGTTCTATATCTACCGGAGCAATCGTGGGAATAGCAATTGGAGGCGTCGCGGTGATTGCTCTAGCCGGAGCTCTGATTTATATGTGCGGGCGACAAAGAACCGTCAAACAGCTTCTACGACAATCACAACCTGCCCCAACTCCCCAGCCCTCCTACCTGGCAAACTCACCAGGCATGTCTGAAGCCCAATATGCCAACATGTACAAGGGCCCAGCTCATGGTACCACGCATTACAGTGGACAAAGCTACGGTGGTCCACCAGCCACGGAAACAGAGAGTTATCGCAGCATCAGCCCGCCGCCACCAAACGAGCATACACATATGATGGGTGGATTGCACCCAAGTAATTTTCATCCCGATCACTCGGTACCAACGTCAATAGCTGGCAGTCCTGGCTTTCCTAGTCCGGCCTTTTCACACGAGTTGATGGAGCCTGGCAGTGATGGAGTTGCTCGGTTCGTATTCCCCCTGTTACCAATTTGGCGCTCTCTCTATGCGGCCTTTTACGGCTGCGCCACAGATTTGTAATCATCTTACTTCTCACAAGTGCTGACATGATTAATTACAGGCCCTACAACCCCGATGAACATCACCCAGCGCACCTCAACCCAAACCAAGCCCGAGATGACGGTCCTCATGAGCTCGCAGTGCCCTCGCGAAACCCCAGCACAGCAGTCGGACCACCTACCCCCCAAAACCAAAGCGAACAATCCAGACCCTTCTCATATTCACATACTCCCCAGGACGAGAAGAGCAATAGTACGTTTACATGATATGCTGCTCTGCTCGGTTATTAGAAGAGGAATAGGAAGGAGTCTCAGACGCCAAGAATGTGGCTGACGTGATGGGTAAATATGAGGGCGTTATATATATCCCTATGCTTTCTTGGGTGGAGTTATACGGCTTGAGTGATAATAAAAGGACTGAAATCATCCTTAGAGGAAAATGGGATGACAATTACTACTCTCGTATGTATTTATCTAATACTAGTAGAGAAGAATCTGAGGTCCGTGTAGGGCGCCATGTATATTACTCCTAGCTGAATATAGTCTAAAATGCTATGACTCTTTTAAGAGCAGCACATAAATCAATAGTTCATGAAAGTTGAATTGTAAGTTATTAAAGGATTATATATATATTATCATTTATGTTATGTGTTAATGTCTTTTTTCATACACCTGCCCGGTTTCAATAGGTCGGCCGTTCACTTTTAGTAATTGCTTATGCAATTTCTCATGTCCTCTCCTATCCAAGACATCTAAGCAGCGCCCCCAGCAGCCAAGAAAAGCTTCTCCCTCTTCATTACCAAACTCAAAACCGTCACAAGAGCGCCCGCCGTAATGACCAAAACATAAGTCTTACTCATTGCCGTGACAATAGCCTTGAGTACCTGGTCCCTAGTTTCCGGACTCAAACTCTTCACAAATGCGCTCCCGGCCCCCGCAATCGCCTCCTGAATCTCCTTGGTAGGCGTCGTCGGCAAAATGGCCTGGATACTCGTTTGAGACTTGTTCAAAAACACACTGTTCGAAATCGCCAACGCAATCGTGCTACCAGACACCTGAGCACACGTTATAAACCCTACCGCTGAAGCGATTAGCGCTGGGTCTACGATTGCTTGCGCGATTGAGAAAGACGCTTGCGCGAATAATCCGTCGCCGAACCCGATCAAAATCGTGTAGCCGTACACGCGTGAGATACTTGTGCTTTGGTCAACAGTGTACATCAGTGCACCGCCTGCTATAACCAGTAGCCCGCCCGCGAGGTACCATGGCATGTAGTACCCGTACGCGGACAAGATGGCACCGTTGCCGATCACGGCGAAGATCATGAGCATGATGAAGGGGAGCAAGCGAACACCTGCTTCGAGCGCTGTGTCGTTGCGCGTGAATTGGAAGAAGATGGGGACCATGTAGATGGGGATGAAGATCGCTGTGGCTCCTGCTGCAGTCATGCAGAACAAGATCAGGATCGTGCGGGACTTGAAGAACTCGACGGGGAAGATTCGCCGGGATGTGGTGGTGAAAACTGTGTAGACTTGCTGGAAGCCGAGAATGATGAACAGAATGCCCGAGCAGACGAACATCCCGATGACCTTTCCGCTGTCCCAGGGGTATGTAATTCCGCCGAAGGAGAGAGCCATCACGCCTGATACAAATGCGCCAATTGTGAGGATGGTGCCAACGTAGTCCATTTCTCGGGCTCGGTCCTTGAGGGTGACACCAGGGCGAGGATCGACAGATGGAAGCATGAAGATGTAGACGGGAGCGCACAGAGCGCCGATACAAAGGTTGATATAGAACGACCAGCGCCATCCTGCCGAAGAATCACTGAAGGCACCGCCAATGATAGGACCTAACACCGTTCCTAGACCCCAAGTCAAGCCGGTTCCTCCAACATACATGGGCCGTTCGTGGATGGTGGTCGTCGCAGCCAGGAGAGTCATTACTCCAACGTACATTCCCGATCCTCCTACACCACAAATAGCACGGCCAATGATAAGTGCATCTATCGATGGAGCCGCACCACAGACGGCGGAACCGAGCTCAAAGAGCGTGACGCAGAGAATGTATGTCCATTTCGCGTTGAACTGGCCAAAGATCTTTCCCCATATCAAATTCGTCGACGCAGCTCCGATCAAAAACGCAACGCTGAGCCAGGTAAGCTTTCCCACTGCATCGAAATGCGTTACAATGACGGGCTGGATGTCTGCAACAATGGTGTTGTCGAGGGCGAACAGGAAGGTTGAACTGAGGATAGCAAGTACTACGATTATCCATCTGACACCGGTTATATTTCGTGGAGGAACTTCCTCTACTGTCTCGACCTGCTGCTTTTCATTGTCGAGACTGATAGTTGACGTGTTTTCCGAGACATCTTGGGTTTGTTTTTTTGGGACTGAGAGGTCGTTGGCATTGATAGGTGCCGGTGCTTCCTCTTTTGAGGTTATATTATCTGGTGTATCTGCCATTGTGATGGCTTAGAATCTAGGGTGATGGATGACGAGGAGGCTGAGACTGATAGGGCTGAAGAAGTATCATGTACTAGCCAATCTACCAACGATTCAAGGAAACAAAGCCAGGAATTGTGGTCAACAGTGCATCGTGGAAGGCCAGAATGAAAACGAGCAGGAAATAATATTAAATGGTAGTAGGATATTTGTCAAACGGGGGGCAAACGACTGTGAATATAAAGAAAAGTTGAAATATGACATGAAAGATATACTTGTGGGCCTACATTCCACTAAAGGGACAGAAACCTATCAAGGCATCATCAGCTCGCCGCCAAACAACATCCCCATCCCGCTTCGGCGGAATATCTAACCAGAAAGCCTAGAATACCATACTTCCTGGGACATTGCCGTCAGCAAAACGCACTAACAGCAGCATATATAAGAGCGCGGAGCCCGAAAGCCCGAAAGCTTAAAGCTAAAATCCACGAGATGACTCGAAACAACGTAATATGAAATTGGGACGGAGTGAGGAATAAACGCGTCTGGCTCAGTGAGATGATTGGCGTATCTGTACGAAGTAGTGCTTACACGTACAACTCCTGTGAGTCTTTGATCCTTTGTTTGGTAATTAACGGCCGCGATACGGATCAGCACGTTCAGATCGGGCTAACTTTTCAAGTGCGGCGCGGGGGGTTTTTCAGCCGCGTCAAAGGATGAGTGACACTGCGCGACTCATCAAGCAAAAGTTCATCTCCGAGTGCTCTAACGGGTCGGATTTAGACGGCGATAGAACGTGACATTAATTCCGGAGTCGCATGGAGTTATGAACCCAGAAGTCTAGGGAGTCGACAGTTCTTCTGCAAACGGTAAATACCCAGCTGTGAGGGAGAGTGAGGTGAGGTAAGCAGTGTGAGAGTGGATATGTCAGCTTTCAGCCAATATCGTGACAAAGGCCAAAACTTGTCAATCTACCATTTGTTCGTTCGTAATTATAAGTGCGAGCTTGTTACTAGTACCGTATAGCATCTTGATTGACTGAGTGAAGATAGTAAGATGCGGTGCGATGTCTGGGTAGAGTATCGTCGGTTTAGCGAAATATAAGAATACGTGGAGAAGGGCGTAGTAGGGTGGACCGAGGAAGACTGGGGTAGAAAGTTTAAACAACGTCGATGCAATCCTTTCCTTGAAATCATCTGACTTGCTTTATATACCCGCCGAAATCTGTGTTGCACCAAACCACCACTTTATGATAATGCCACAAACCTACCCGTCCTTCTAGTGAGAAACGGCCCAATCTCACTCAGCTGAGGTGGCAAGCTCGAGAATTGATCCACCCTAGCTCGCGTTCACGGATGAGATTTATTTTTACGTGAACTTCCCTCACAGTTGCACAGTCTAGGCTATTCTGAAAACGTAATACTGGTTGGTACCCGGATTCAAGGAGTATATCTTACAGGAAAAATCCATGGGCGCTAGCTGGATGTTTATACGAATTCCATAATACTGTAAAGCCAACTCGGATCTTCCCCTAAGCTCTCGTATAACTCACATATCAACCAATTTCAATATGCTTAATAAATGATTATTCAATACCTTTAACCCTAATTATATCAAGGTACATGAACGAGAAGTATTCTTACTGGATATTGGTTACGTCCCAGCATGTAATAAATCAGTTTGATGCGACGTCCAAAAATACCACAAGACGTGAGACGTTGATTAGAATAGAAAATATATATTGGTATCGCAAAAGTGTTCCTAAGATGCGCATCCAGTAACCCAGATGTAACGGATGACCAGCTCTTCAATACAACGACGAGTCGACCGTCTGGCAAGGAGAATATTAGGATATCATCCCACCCGTAACCCATCATAAACATTATAAAACATAAACTCATCTATGTTGCCTACTCCTATCTTACCCATCACGAATAGAACGATGTGTATGGTTTGCTTACAAAAAGAGCGCAGCTAGCAAGCCGAACAACCCACCGGCAACTGTTCCGCCTACTGAAACCACAGCAGCCGCTCCTGTGAATGCAGCCTGTGGTGGTCCAGATCCAGTACCTGTTGCGAGAAATAGCGAGCTGGTGTTCGAGGGAAAGAACGTCGAGGTACTGGTCTTGATTTTGGTATTGGTGGTGGTCTTCTCTGCGGCAGCCGCAGCTGTCGTTTGAGCAACTGCAATACCTGCAGCGGTTTGGGTTGCAGTTGCCGATGCTTGCTCACCACCGCCGGAGATCTCGATGATGATCGAATTGGTGATCTGTGCTGCTACGGACCCGGTATTCTTGGCTCCCTCGGATGACTTTGTCGCCTTGCTGCCTTCTGACTTGCTGCCCGCCGATTTGCTGCCCGCCGATTTGGTGTGCTCTGTACTCGAGTTTCCATGAGCCTGATTTGGATTGTTAGTGAGGCTGAACAACTGGACACTCTTTTAAAGGCTGAGTGTATATACCTTTGTCTCTGTGGACACTGATGCATGAGTCTTTGTTCCCAAGTATGAGTACTTGGAGCTTTTCTCTGCTTTCGTTTCTGTCGAGTTCTTCCCCTTCCCGGAGCTTTCGTTGGAGCTGGAGCTGGAGGAGGAGGAGCTGCTCTCGTCGATAAGGATAAATGTGTCAGAGGAAGTGTAGCTTTTCTTTGAATCGACAATGACTATCACGACTGATTCTGCCTTGAGGGACTTGTCCGAGGTCCATTTGTATGATCCCGAACTACTGTCGACTTGAGTGGCGATTTGAGCAATGATGACCGTTGTGTCTTTGGCTCCAGCTGGACACAGGCTGATATCAACTGCACCACTTGTGGAGCTAGAATCCCACGAGAGAGAATTCTCTTGGCCGATAACCCACGAGTCTCCAGATTTGGGGCTGCTGAATGTGGCTTGAACCAGAGCCGAAAATCTTATGACGAAAGCGGAAAGAAGTAAATAACGCATCGTGAAAGATTGCATATATATATA